TTACTGTTAAATATAATTTAAAAAATATTCAAAAATAAAGAAAGATAAAGTTGAAATTACTTTTGGTCAAAAATTCAAAGTTGATTAAATATAATGTACATATACATAAATTAAACGTGTATGTTGTAGCAGTGTAAAAATGACTATTACAAATTTATTGAAATTAAAAACTGTATAATTAAATAAATATTAAAACTATTTATTTAGTATAGTATTAAATGTTACATGGAATGAAAACATTTGGCAGCGCCAAGTGTTTTTTACATAAATTTTCTTTTTCATTAGTTTTTTTCTCATTTGGTTCTATTATTTTTTTAATTTTTTCTAGTGATACTTGAGTTGAGTAAAGTAATACGATTTTGTAATATAGTAATATTTTAAAGAATTAAATAATAATTACCATTGGGTTGAAATAGAAAGAGTTAATAAGTGTAAAGATAACATATCACTTGGATTGAGTAAGATAACACGTTTGCGAAAAATTAAAACTACTATCACTTGGGTTGAAAGGGAAAGATGGACCAATGGGAATACAAAGATACATATCAGTTAGAATGAATTTTTTTTTAATCTGTACTTTTATAAAATTTTTTTTATGAAATTGTAATTTGGCAGTTATTGATATCAAATATTTTGTACAAGTCATATCAGGAGACGCGGTAGCGTCTCCCGCCAAGTATATTTTTTCGTTATTAACAGAGACGCTACAGTGTATCCTTTACTGGACGGATAACGACTCTGTAGGAATAAATTATTATTTCTTTTAATTATTTGGATAATATCGGTAAATGCCTAATTTTGTGAAAAAATCTATATTTTTCTAATCACAATACTGTAACAGCGATATCCATAAGTGCATTTGATGCATAAGCGCATAAAGTGTATGCATTTTTTTGCCCGATATTATGTCATTCAGATACGTCGTCGTCGTCGTCGTTGTCGTCGTCGTCGTCGTCGTCGTCGTCGTCGTCGTCGTCTTCTTCGTAAAATTTTTCAATCTTGTCCCCTTTCGTCTATAATTTATAATTTTGCCGCCTTTGTTGTCGCCGTCTTTTTCTTCGCTAAATTTTTGTTAAAATTTCAATGTTGTATGGTCTCTTTGGTCTGCTATATCGTTATCGTCGTCTTCTTCTTCGCAAAATTTCAATCTTGTCCCTTTTTTCAATCTTGTCCCTCTTCTGGCTTTCTCGTTTCTCTCACGACTTTCTCGTCTGTTTCTCTACTCTCTCGTCTCTCTCTCACAACTCTCTTGTGGCCGTCGTCGAGGAAGTATCTTCTTCTTCGCAAAATTTCAATCTTGTCTCTTTTTTCAATCTTGTTTCTCGTCTCTCTCTTGGC